TCGATTATAGCCTAGAAAGCGAGCAAATAGCGCTTTCATATAACGTTAATCACTAAAAAGCTGTCACTCACTTCAATTTATCGCAATCTCACAATTCCGTGATATGAAGCTCTCAGAACTGCAAATAAACTCTTATTTACATCGTGTCTATGTGTGGCATTTAGCATTCAGTGAATTCTGACTGTGTCACCCTGTATCTATTTATATATTTCTTTATTAATATCTTAATATATTATTATATCTTATGTTAACCATTTGCACACACGAGCATTATCCGGCTCCGCTCCTACCGACCGCAGACACAGGTTTACAAGACACTTTTTCCTGTGTTTTTCAGTCAATTTCTTGACTTTTCCCCGCTTATGAGCAACACATTTTCGTACACGATAAAAGCTCCTTGTGGTTTCTCGGTTTGGCCGATTTGAGCATCCATAAACAACGCAAAACACAGGCATTTTGAGTTTCTGCTAGTGATTTCTATGGAGAAAAATCACTTCCTGCCCTCCAGCTGCATTTCGTGCGTCATCAGAATCACGTGATTGCAAACAACCTATTGCAGCGCCTCTAATCTAATTAAACTTCAACTTTAAGGTCGTAGGCCACTGGTGGTCAATGCAAATAAGAATTTAGCGGCACTGTTTGATGGTGTCACACGACACAGGTACAAGCCATGGGTACACGCTACCTGAGGACGCCAAAACGGTATGGCTTTGGGATTTAGGAAATGGGATTTACTGGGAACGGTCGATTGATTGGTCTATCGATCATCTGTACATACGCTCAATATATGAATCTTCTTAGACGGAGAGTCAGCAGCAGAGAGAGAGAGCGAGAGAGAGAGAGAGAGACATCCTTACTAAAATAGTTAGTCTTGGCGCATATAGCCTATGACTTTTAAATAAATAGAAAGTCATATCTTATTTTCTTGTTAAATGTTCAATCCAGTTGTCTAAAATATTAACTAACAAATATTAAAATTTAAATAAATTTAAATTAAGGTTAGGATTGCAATGTGGGGTTTGATCTGATCAGTTGTTAAAAAAAGTATAATCTGGATTAGAATGATGTGGGTTTGGAAATCCCATGTTTTGCTATCCAGGATCAGGTAAAGTATTTTACAATTGTGCTATTTTTTTTTTTCAAAGGAACTTTGAATTGGATTGGATTACCCAAATTCACATACAATTATTTCCACATTACCGAAATCCAGACTACCAGTGCTCTAAAAGGGACTAATACATCACAATGTGGACAACAACAGTATAAAGAAAAACAGGCAACAAATAGCCATACAATATGGGATACAAATGTTAGAAACTATTTTTAACATTGTAGTCTAATTAATATACACTGATAAATTACATTTAAATTTAATGTATTATTCTTGTTTGATATTGACAGCTGTTTGGGGTATACACAAAAGTGTAAATGAGATGCAAATGTTGTATTATTTGACCAATTTTAACGTTTTATTACATGTTGTTTCTGAAATCAACCCTGTATACACCATTCTGTTAGGACCAGGATAATCCTGAATATTTATTTATTTATTTATTTTATTTATTTATTTTTTGGATCAAAGGTATCCTAATCTTACAAAGTTAGAACAACACGTAATGAATGTTTAATCCAGATCAAAACAAATGACTGGATTACTTGATGTAATCCAATTTCCGTTCTTTCCGTTTTTGACTTGGATCATCAGCATAAGTCAGCATAATAGAGAGGGGAAATGACTCCACATTCTCTTCCATGGTCTTCCTTTCTAGTCTTTCCTCAAAAACCTCCATTCTTAATGTGCCAATTTCTTAAGATTTATGGCCCAAGTGATGGCCTTCTAGCACAATGACCCCTCTGTCACAGCTGTGTAGCATTTAAAATGGGATATATATAATTTCTGCTAAATCTGCTCTTCTCGAGGGGGAAAAAAACTGCTAAGAGCTTTCCTCCACATGTTGAATGATTGTGTGTCTGCGTCTCTTTCAACTTTTATTTGGCAAAGGTTAAAAGCACTTCAGCATAAGTCCAAGTGTGAGTCAAACATCTCACATTACAGCATAATCAATTCAGAAAGGACATATGAAAGAAGATTAGGGGAAAAAAACTCTTTTACAATTTTTAAATGTTATGTGTTTTTGTATCTTTTTAAAATAATATCTTCTCCCTTATTTCACCCTTGTACGTAACAGTGCGCTTGGTTTTGAAAATGTGAATTTGATCTAATTAAGCCATAGTGCTTGAACATGTACCAAGAACAGTAGCTGACTACATAGTATTCATAATTCAGAATTATTATGAAATTTCAAATTGTTTCAGACAATTCATTTGGCTGACTTGCAGATCACCTGCTCGCAATAGCACTTGTTTGTTTTCCTCTTAAACTTTCAATGAAATTGTCTCCAATGCGAATGTAACCACATTACCACATCATATTTCCAAGGAAAGAACTTCTTTGTTTTTATCATCATCACAAATCTTCACCACATTACAACAAAGTCTCCACAGGACTATTTTGAACTAGCCTCATTCCAACTGTGAGAGAATTGAGAGAAAAATGTCAGTCATGTGATGTTATTCAGTATTCTGAGACAAATCCTATTACCTCCTTTAAAATGACTGGAATTTAGACATACATGGGCTCAGCCTGTTGATAAAGTGTCTGAAGAGCCAAAAGCTTAACAACTCTGGTGGGACAAATGAAGAAATATCTGGTGAAAAAGGAAATAAATATGTAAGGGACATTAAATTAGGGTTCATATGGTGACACTCTTTTACTCATGACAAAATATGTTTGTCCACCCCTTTCTTTTTATGAGTTTTCTATTTTGTTTTCTGTTTGCTTTGAACTGTATCTGAAAACCTAACCAAAAAAAAGTAGACAACAAACAGCTTAAAGTAGAAACATCACAACAAATGAAAGTCAGCACAGGAATGGACATCAGCCCTCTTACAGGAATTGATTTTTACATGCGCTTTTCTTCAGCACTGCATACAAAGCTAGTACTTGTCAGTGCTAAGACATGCAAGTGGTGTGAACATGTACCACATGTCTGTAAGCTTGACTGTGGGCTGTATCCATGACCTTATTACTTAATGGATTAAAGAAAGCGGATGGTTATGGTCCAGACAGTAGGCACAAAATATATGATTATATAACCACAATGTACTGCATTCACAAGACATTTTCTTTGCTTGCCGAGTCATTAAGCCGTTCCTTCAAAGAGATGAAAAAAAAATTAAATGAATTAACTGAATTTTAGTGAAAGTTTGGTACTTTTCCCATTATAACATGAGAGTCCAAAGCCAAGCAGTTGTATCTTCCAGAATACATGAATGCCCTTCTCTGCTGTTGACAAACATAATTATACTTCCTTAAGATAAGCATTACACCTATTGACATGTTTTTGGTGGTTTGAACGTTCTTTCAAAAAAGTATCTTAAAGGGGTCATATGATGCGATTTCAATTTTTCCTTTCTCTTTGGAGTGTTACAAGCTCTTGGTGCATAAAGAAGATCTGTAAAGTTGCAAAGACTAAAGTCTCAAATCCAAAGAAATTTTCTTTATAAAAGTTAAGAGTCAACCATGCCTACCTAAAACGGCTCGTTCTAACATGCCCCACATGTCTACGTCACTATGTGGGATGATTTGCATAACACCGCACAAATGTTCACGCAAAGAAAGAAGGCATAACATTGATTCTCGCTATAGTATTGTTGTTGCTGCCGCCGCCATGTCATGAAGGCGCTTTTGTGTTTCCTTGTGAAAGCAAAACTACTTTGTTTGGTCTTCCAAAAGAGGACGATATCGCTTCGTCATGCCTAGAGCTGATCCGTGCTGGTCGCTGAGGAAATACATCAACTTTGCGCTGTGGATCGCCGGATCGGCTTTCACCGTGGACGAAGCGGAGTCCAGCCGGATGTGATTGTCACATGTGATTGCCGCAAGCCCGCCGGATGCTCCTTCGTCGAAATCCGCCGGCCGCGCCATTCTCAAGCCCACTCATTTTATGGAGGACCGTTTCCCGATCCTGGGAGAGTAGACTACAATGCCGGCTGTTCTGACTCACAGACTGTAAGTGTTTTCATATTTGAAGGATTTGACACTGACTATTCAAACGCAAGTTTTGAGCAGTGTAGAGTAGCGCTTGTTGTTTGTCATTTCTCCGATCACAAATGCAGACATGGTTTTATGTTTACACGGCGCGATGCAACGCAACGCGTAAAAAGACAGTATAAATCATTATAATCCGTAATTATGTCCCCACTGGATGCAACAAATGCCTCGTTTATAATGGGTTTTAATGTATTTGTCTCATCGCTGCGGCCGGACAGGGCATCACGGTATGGTAAGGGGCGTAACATTTCGGTCGCACGCTTGAGGTATTCGGCCAATCACAACGCACTGGATAGCTGGCCAATCAGAGCACACCTCGCTTTTCAGACAGATGAGCTTTGAAAAATCGACGCGTTTCAGAAAGGCGGGGCATAGAGGAGGAACACTAATGTACAGTATGTGGAAAATAATGTGTTTTTTGAACCTTAAACTGCATAAACACATTTCATTACACCAAATACACAAAATAATGTTCTTTTTAACAACATCATATGACCCCTTTAAAGTAACCTAATTAAAGAAATTATTTTCATGAAAAGTTATCCACTGAAAATTATTTCAGATTTATTTCAGATGGGTTCACATTAGGCTAAGTGCCATGGAACTGTTCCTGAGATTCCAGATTCCAGCCAAATGATAAATCACAGATGAACAGACTACAGAAGACCTCTAGTAAGCAAAAACCAGCAAACCACTTAAGTTTTACCAGATCCACAAAATGAGTAAGCAATAGTTCAGATGAGGCTAATTATAGTCAGACAGAACCATCAAGGAATATCAGTGATCAGTCTTTTTCGATGAGATGTTGGAAAATAATTTTTAGATTGCCATTTAGGAACATATACTGACAGTTAATGACATGTAAATGTGATCAAGAGTGTCTCACCCTAGTCTATTCTCTTCTTTCTTTCGCAGGTGGAAATCTCTCTGGATCACCTGCCAGACATGCTTGGCTTCGTCATCTGTCAGCCTGGAGAGATCCAAATTCTTCCCATTACTGCTGTTGGGCATCATCTTAAATCTCATCCGGTAGAATGAGGAAGCCTGTGAACCAAATCACAGTGCCACTTTCTTAACAAACATGTAGCGTTGTTTTAAGAGACAGAACAATTAATCGTTCTGCCTCATTTATTGTAAGCTGGCACCCGGCTAATCTTAAGTATTTTACTCCTCACAGGTCGAACAATTTATTAAAGCACATTTTCTTGAGAATAAATAGCCACTTCAAAGGTTTAATATAAAACAACATTTGGGATTGAGCTTATCTGTAAACAAAATGGTAATGTAGCATTTTACATTCTGTCATAAGACTAGCATCCATTCATACTTAGGCTGAATCTAGTTACAGTGGGTATAGAAAAGAATCACCCCCCTTTAAAATAATCACATTTTGTTGCTTTGCAGCCTGAAATGAAGATGGACACAGTTTTTGTTTTATCCAGCTGTATTTACTCAGTGCAACTTATAACATCCAAGTGAAAGATAGAACATCGACATGTCAGAAAGAAGAAAAAAAAAACAGAATCACTGAGTTGGAAAAAGGATCACCCCTTGTGTCTGTGAATTTTGTTGAACCACCTTTTGCTTTAATTTACAGCCTTTAGTCTGTTGGGATATGTCTCTGTCTCTACTAACTTTGCACATCTAGACTTTGCAATATTCGCCCACTCTTCTTTGCAGAACTGTTCAAGTTCAGTTAAATTTGATGGTGAGCGTTTGTGGACTGCAGTCTTCAAGTCATTCCACAGACTTTCAGTGGTGTTTAAGTCTGGGCTCTGGAGGCCATCAAGGACTTTAACCTTTTTCTCCGTCAACCACTGTGTGCTCAGTTTTACTGTGTGCTTTGGGTCATTGTCATGTTGGAAGATAAAACTTCATCCCATTGACAACTTTCTGGCAGAGGGCAGCAGATTCTCCTCAAAAATTTGATGGTATTTCAAATACCCATCCATTTTTCCATCTATCCCGACGAGTGCTCCTGTACCTGCTGCAGAAAAACACCCTATAACAGCATATCACCACCTCCATGCTTTACTGGAGGAATGTTGTTATTTGGATGGTGAGCTATATTGGATTTCCACCAGTCATATCGTTTGGTGTTGAGGTCAAATAATTCAATTTTAGGCTGATGATACTGGGCAACTTTTTGAGCAATTTTGCTGGGCAACTTTTTTTTAGCAATGTTGCTTGGGCACTTTTACATTGAGAATGGATAACAAATGTCTATCTGGATACTTTAGATCGGTCGCGGGCCCTGTGTCTCATCTGGTTGCCCATTGTCGGCAACATTGCCCGAAGTTGCCCGGCAAAATTGCTCAAAAAGTTGCCCCGTGTATCATCAGCCTAATATGCAAATTGTGGGTGCCTGGTCAAAAAGTGTCAGCCACTGTCTATTTGCAGATAAAGGGATGTTTTTTTTCCAAAAAGCCATTAGAATCAGTAATTTAATTTGTCTTTTACACACTTGAATAGGCATGTAAATGTGACTAGCTGTTGATAAGCTGCTAAAATTATTTTTAAGCTCTTATTTAAGTTCCTTTGGTCAAATCCCATGACATCATTATCTGAAAGTTGTGTCTATCTTCCCTTCATAATGCTGAATTATAAAGACACAGTTATAAAATGTTTATTCAAAGATTTACTATTTCCTTCTCAACTACAAAAGGGCAACTAATCAACGGTGCGCTAACAAGTTATACTGTTTTCAAGTTTCTTCCTTTACATTTGAAATGAGTGAAATTACTTCAAAGACTTTTTATAAGGAAATTATTTAAAAAAGAGAATTTTATATGAATGAATAAGAATTTTATATGAATGCTGAAAATGAATTTTGTAGCATTGTAAAAACTAAAATTAGTATCTGTTTATTTATTGGAATTGGTTCATATCTGCCATTCCACTCAACATCTGTGCTTAATCTCTTATATCCTACCGCTGGCCCTTAAAGTCTTTATGTAATGGAAAACTGGTGGATTGTTAAGCAATAAAAAGTAATGCTGCAGCCCTCTGGCATGTTATTTCATTCATAAATAACTCAAGAAGACTAAAAAGACTAACTGATGCACAGCTATGGCAAGCTTTTCTTCAAGTAAGTGCATTTAAGGATTTAGAGAATTTTTTGCGAAATAATTGACATTATACAAATGACAAAAAAAGTAATAATTTTACACATTTTACATAGGATCTCTTCTTAGGTTTAGCCATTATATAGCCTAATAACTAGTATCTAGTAAAAATGTTTACCTGGTCTTGATTCAGCAGCCTGTGGTAGTCCAGTGGGATTTCAGCTAACCATTTTCAGGCAGAAAATCAAGCTGCTATGTTTATCACATGTCCAGTTAACTGTGGGGTTGGGAAGGGCCACTGAAATATTTAAACCCCACCTCAAATTTCTCGTTGAAACAACATCTGATTTAATCTTGTAAAACAGCTGCAGCAAAAGCTGTACAATACATTAAAGCATAATTACATCTTAATTCAGCGTAATGTCACAGTTTTCAAGACTGGCTGCCAAGTTGGTTTGAATAGCATACTTAAAGTATTTATATTTGCATCACATAAGCTTTCTCCAATAACAACATAACCACTATAGGTTATCTGCCTGCATTGCACTGATTACCACTAAGGACGTAGTGCATTTTCTTTCTTCTTTTTTTTGGAATTCCAGGTAGTGAAGTGTGTTTAGTTTATTTTGAGTTATGATTAAAACAATGATTAGGATTTCATTTAACTGATACTCCTCTCCTTTGTGTGTGTGTTTTTTAAACCTTATAGCATAACGTAGTGTTGCTTTTGCTTTGAGTCTGTCATGTAACTGGGATGTGACCAAACATCGAAGTCTATTTGTCCATGCTATTTATATTCTGCTCAATGTGTGAACAGAGAAGATTTGCAAAATTCCATATAGTTATTCAACTTAGAGACCCCTCAGTGGAGGTTAAAATTGTTTGGTTCACACATCTTGATTAATTTTCTACAGAATAAGTGTTTACACTGTTGCTGTTCAAAGCAAGTTATTGCATTTGCCTGACCAATAAGGGAAAGGCACCTACCACATGACTTTATTTCATCCGGGAAAAAAAATTCATTCTAGGCTGGTGACTCTGATTAAGTTTGTCCAAGTTAGATTCTTGTAAAATGTTTCAACCATTTGCGTTTTCTTAATACAGGGGCATCTATTCATGACTGTGGGAAAATGACAAATCCCAAGCTTGGTTTGTTCCGTTATTGTGAGAATAAAACTTAAATATAGTGGAAGTGCAGACTTTTATCTTAACAAGATTGAGTTTGATTGATAACGTAATCTGACATTTGTGGTGAATGCACTGTTAAATCATACTATTTATTTGTACCAGGTATAGTAAATGCAAATAAACATGTAAGAAAACCCAGGTACAGTACATGTTGTGCTAAGAAGCCCACATAAAATATAAAATGAACTGTCAACAGAAAGAGGTAGTTAGCAAGAATAGCCCCATCTGCCGTCAAGAAAAGAAATAACACCTTTAATTGGTTCTGAAATGTGCTGCAGTGGTCCTTATTCATGGTGGTCGCCGTGATTTTGCCAAGTAAGACATGTTCCTGGATCAACATCTTTTGTTGATCCTGGATCAACATTACTGTCCAAAAATACAGACTTAACCCAATCCCTACCCCTAAACCTAACCTTACCCATAATTTATTCCTAAAATCAGAGGGAAATGATAGCTGATTTCCTGAAAAGTTATCTCTCAATTTTGATTGGTTGATTGGAATGATGTTCACAAGGATGTTTATCCAGGAACATGTTGTACTTGGTCAAATCATGCTCACCATTCAGGGTAGATGGCATTTTCCATTTTTTATACAAAGTACAATGAGGTTTTGAGGGGTAAAATTATAGTCTGTTCAATGGGTTGTATTGTCTTATAAGTTCCTAAGGCTGCATCTACTTTTCACAGCCCATCATTTCCGAAGTTGTGTGCCCTCTGGAAATTTTTTGAAGATGTGTGACCCATTGAAGCCAATGTTTGTCTATCCCGCACATCGTTGTTTGTGTTATATTAAATATTTTAAATATGGCATTCTACTATCAATCTATTCTATCTATTCAACTACCTACTCTAAGTTCCATGGCCTCTATCCTACTTTTTTTTTTAAATCGACATTACATCACATCAGTGTTAATTTCGTCAGACGAAAAATATTCATTAACGAACATTTTTTCTGTGACTAAGACAAGACGTTGACGAGTTAAAACTAATATCTGATGATAAAAACTATGAAACTAATATCTGATGATAAAAGCTATGATGATGAATTTATCTTCGTTAACAAGACGAGACGGGACTATAATGTTATTTGAGGACTACAGGACATTCAAAACACATCCTATAGGATACTGTCTTGTCCTTCAAAATGTGTCATTGGATTGCAATCGTATAAGGGGTGTTTGCATATCTAGTCTCAGTATGGCAGCCGCAGTGGATGGATAGGCTACCAAAATGCGAACTAGGGATCTGAAACAAGGGGGTAGGGATAAGGTGACCAGATGTCCCGTTTTTTCCCGGGAGTCACAATTCGTTGTCGATTAACTTTAGGGATGCGCCGATACCGGTACTGGTATCGTTATCGAGCCCGATACTGAGCTTCTGTACTGTTAAAATGCCCCGATACCAAACACCGATACCACACATGTGTTAAGTGCCATATTCAGACAAAGAAACACTGACAACAGAACAACAGACAGCAGAATGGAGTTATTAGAGATTAAGAATGTCTACGAAGTATATGTATGCAATGAATATAATGTTAAATATTCAGTATCAACGCCTGTATAGCTGATGTGCGCGAGCTGATAAGCATAGTTGTGCTCAAACTTTCGCTATGGCATTAGAGCTGGTACACCGTTGTCGCTTGTGAAATCAAAATGACGCGCCTTGGGTGGAAGCTTACAGATTAAGGGGCAGTAATATCAATGAGAACCCTTTGCAACGTCACTAGGGGAGCAAAATCAGACATGCTAATTTTTTCAGATGCTTGCAGAAAAAGACTTACCAAAACAAAGTTACTGGGTGTCAGCATCCTACCTCCTGTAGTTTGTCTCCATGCCTCTAGAGGTCCCCTGGTTTCTCCTCTGCCTTAGTTCTTCCTCGTGTGGCCTTGTTAGCATCATCCAGGTCACCTGTGCCTTGTTTCCCCAGTGTATTTAAGTTGTGTATTTTTCTCTTGGTTCCTCACTAGGTTTTTGAGTCTTCTCCCTGTGTTTCCTGCCTGGTCTCGCTAAAGCCTCCCTAGCTACCCCAAGTAAGGTATCCTGAGTTCCTTTCTTTGGTTGTAATTGTTCTCTGGTTTTGTTTTCTCCCCTCGTGGAGTTTTTATTTTCTCATGTGGTTTTTCCTTTGTTTTTGCAGTAGTTAAGACCTCAGTCCGAGAAGAACTTTTGTTGTATTTTTCTTGCAAAGACTTTTTTTTAATA